CAATTTCCTTCAACACAGACTGGCTTCTTCAGGAGTTTTCTGCACTGCAGAGATGTGTGAGAGAGGGTTTTTTTCCAGAGTGGGTGAAGGGAAGTGAAGGATAACATTGATTTCAAAGAAGGAAAATATTTTACTGTATCTGCAGCTCCTTTATGAGACAATTTGCACTTTTAAAAACTGCTTTTTAACACTAATACTTTAACCCTTTCCAAATATGCATGGAACATGGTTTGTCCGGCACACTTACCCAGTGTGGATGAATTACGCTCTGTTGAACAGATTTGATACTGTATCATGTTGAACTGTTGGTGAAAGATGTGCATTGATCAGTGGATCCCACCCTTGAATAGTGGCTAAATCTTCACTGAAGCAGACTTCATCCCTTGTAGAGCTTTTGAAAAGATAACGTAAAGATTGTCTTTGGATGGGAAGACGAAGGTGTTAGTGACTTTGGTTGTTGACACTTCTGATATTTTCTAGAATAAGTAGTTGAGATGCAAATAACTGATGATAACTTTTCTTATACTGGCAGCCTAAGAAAAGATCTAGTGAGTTTGGTTTACTGTTAAGTTAAACCAAAAACTGGTCCAAGGTAAGTGTCATTAGAAGAATATAGATATAAACTAGCAATGGCAGGGGAAGGAGTGTTTGCTGTATTTTTGTTTTTAAGGGTTAACTTTGCACCAGTGTGCCTTCCCTTCCTGTTGGGGGTGCTTGGGACCTCATAATTTCAAGTGACATCCTTTAGTGTCACTAGTTTTTTTTTCCTCCCCCTTACAAACACTTGAGAGAAATAACAGGGTAGTAGGATTCAGCTTTTCTTTCTTCCCTGTTTAGGTTGTGGTGAAATCTGCTACGTTTTCCAGTAGATTTTGCACACAGACTTTGTTCTGAATAAGTCAAAACACAATCCATCCAGTTGTGATTTCTTAATTGGAGGAAAAGAACATCTGCTGTTTGCATTTTTACTACCAAAAAGGCAATCCAGCTAAATGTCCAGGAAAATGCAGATGTACTCTTTCCTCCACTGTTTCTGGAAGCTAAGGTGGATATTGCCCAGCTCGACCAGAGGGTTTGTTCAGGAAGGTATCTAGATTTGATGACAGGGCCTTTTCGTGGTACTGTTGAAGTAAAATTAAGTGTGATTCTAGGCAAACTGGCTTATAATGCCCATTGGTCTTCATACGTGAACAGGATCCAAACAGCGTTTAACCTGATAGAAAAAACAGCCCTCGCTTCTGGATTTGGTCCCTGTCCACATGATGCAATCAGACTGTTGGAAATACGGTATCACCGTAACAAAGCTGAAACAGTTCAATGGAAATGAAAACACGGTTTAGATGTACATAGGTGCATGGGTAGGGCTGGGCTTTGCCTTTATGCCCTTTAACATGTAGCTGTCTATATATGCACTTGGGCTTTCCATTTGCTGCCGCTTCAGAGCAATAAAATGTATCTCCCCTGAACTGTACCTAGCCAGCCGCCCATGGCTTTATTTATAAACTGCGGTTTTGGTTGGGTAGGAAAGGTGAGAGTGTCACTGTGCAACATCCACTGCCTTCCAAAAACCACGATTCAATTGAAAAGGGTGCTCAAAATTTTGTTATACACATTTCCTTTGTGTAAATAAATGTTTACAATTTTATATTAAAGATTTGAATAAGAGTTAGATCTTCTGACTGTATATTTTTTACTTTTTATAGATTTTAAAACTATAATTCTTTATATATGTGTTTGGGGGGGTATTATGGTAAGTTTTATGCTTGTAAATGGAGAACAGTTGAATTTGATGCTAACCTTTATGAATTTTTGTCATTGAAATGTATAAAGAGTCCATTAATCCCCTTATTCTTTTACTACAATTACTGGTGCACACCAAAAAGAAATCCTTCACTTCTGTTTTATCATTATAAAATAAATATTTTGCTAGTGTATTAAACATACATGGTGTGACTTCATACGTTTGTGTGACCTGAGTGGAGTTCAGCATTTGTGTTCCTAGTGAGATGGTTCCCTTCATCCCAACACATGGTGTCGGTCAGCCTGTTGCAAAGGTTCAAATTCTTCTTCTGTGTCTTACCAATTCTTATGGTTTCAGAACGTTCATTTAAGCAAGCCCTTAGAACACTTTACTTTGAAAACAAGGCTTTATGCTACACCCACTGCTTCTGGACTTTTTTTTTTAATGCGGTTTTAAGGCCTTAAGCGAGGAAATATGACTGCGGAGGTGGTTGTTACTAGTGAAAAAGATGTTAACAACTACTCAAGGCCTAATATGTGCAAAAATGTAGAGTTCCAAAAATACGGTCAGATTCCCTCAAAATAACAGGCCTTAGAGGTTCAAATAAGTTTCCCTGAGACTTGCAAAAAGGCAAAGATTATGTACATTTGACATGGGCAGATTGCACAAAAAAACCAAGCTGAGAAATGAGGAACGTGTACCGCAAGCAGGAGTTAATGTTTCTGCGCAAGGAACAAAATATTGGCAGCAAGTTGCATGAAGGTTTTGGCTTAAAGCTGGTAAGGTCCCTAAGCCACTGCATAGAGCTGGTGGGTTGAAGAAGTTGTGAAAATAATGGCAAAATAGGTGCTTTTATTAATCCCTGCTGGATTGTTGAGCCTCTTAAGATGGACACCTACGTGTACGTTGGATAGAAGAGAAGGAAAGCGATGGTCCGTGGCTCCATCAGCGCCCAGAGGAGCCTAGCTTTAGTGGTGTGTGTTTGGATGTTAGTATGTTCTTGTTAACAAGTTATTACTTGATGAATTACTCTGAATCAAACATTTCAACACAGTTCTCAGCGAATCATGCCACTTGCAGCAGACCCAAGAATTCAGTTATTTATGTAGTATTTCCTGTTTGTGAAGTGCACCTTTTAACTGATGGTATCTAGTCTTAACTTCTAACCTAACATCTCAGATCTCTGCAACCACAGATTTAGCAGTAGTGATAAAGAAGAATTTGCAAAGTGTTTGCATTTCTTGCTAAGGCTGTGTTTATTTTACATGTTACTGTAATTTCAAGCGTCGCCCTGTGTAATAAGAATTTAATCGTCTTCAAACACTGAAGGATCATTCTCCAAGCATTGAGGTTGGTGTTTTATTATATAGCTATTGTGTTTAAGGCCCCACCTCAGAGCCTTCAGATTTTCTCGCAAAGTGCATCCTGACTTATCTGAGTATATTTGAATATATTCCTACTCTACAAGTTTTGAGTGGTGTTTGGGGGGGAGCAGGGGACCTGTAGCTTCAGAAGCTTATAAAGAACTAAATGTACTAATAAATAATGACGCCAGGATGAGCTGCCTCTAGCCTGTGGGGAACTGTGAAGTTGTTACTTTAACTTTTGCTTTATTGTCCCATTCAAAGTGCTGCATTGTATTTAATATTGAGTAAAACAGAAATTTCCCAAACTGTCCCCTGTTGAAGTGACGATTTTAAGGAGTTGGTGCTGCTCAGAAACTGATTTTTTTTTTCTTGATGTTAGTGTTCTTCCTGAGGCTGATCCAAGTCTGTAATGGAAATGTTTTCTAAAGCCTGAATTGCTTGTTGAAATGGTGTAAGCAGAAGTAGACTCCTGATGACATTTCCCCTCTGACTTTTATGCTAGACACCCCAGATGAAATCTTGGGTCACCAATAGATTCTTTTAAGGTTAATTGTTTTATTTCTATTTCAGTCCGGGTCTGCCAGCAGCCTGGAGGGTTGAAAGTCATGTCATATGAGTGTTTTGCAGAGAAGGGGAGTGGTTTTGCTATTCTACATGCAGGTTTTATAAAAAACGTACAATTGTGTGTTTGAATTAAGTGTTCCATAAGCTGTCACGATGGGGCTTTGGGGTGACAAAGATCTAAACCAGGAGAATGAACTTGCTGTGCCCCAGTTGGGAGAAACTGTAGGTCTGGTCACTTCATGTTGGTGTTGTGCACAAATTCTGTATTGAGGTTTTGTGTGTGATTGTGCGGAGAGAAATGCCATAGCTCAACAGTATCCTGCCCCCTCTCTCCATCAAAAATAAGGGAGAACCTTAGCTGATAATGATATGAGCCGAATGATACCTTTTTTCCCTGCTTTTTGGTTTTAAAATCTTTAAAGTGAGTAGTCTCTTCTCCATATCCTGTGTTGTGGAGCAACTTTATAACGTTTTGAACTGATGCATATTTTGCTTTTGTGGACTGGGGAGAAAAGTTATTTGGGGCTAAAATACTGCTGTTTTTCAAACTTTACATTTCACAGTTATAATTCTGATGTCAGTAAAACATTTCTGAGGGTGCCTGTGTTTCTACATCCTATGCTGCCATCCGTTCTGAATTGAGAACGTTTATTTTGTACGTTAGCCAGGAAAAGGTTTGTACTACACAATTTTAAAAACACCAGAAAACTACAAAAAGTGACTGAGTGCTAGAGAAGGACCATACTCCTATTTGGTGAACTTACAGTATTAATTAATAGGATAAAATAACTGAATGCTCTTTAAAAATTCAGAATCCAGTAACAGAATTAAGTTATTCCAGATGAAGTCCAGAAACTATTTCATGAGATCAACTCCACTACTTGGAATAAGAGCAGAAGGTCAAGTCATTACTTTGTAAATGCTTGTTAATAATTTTTACAACCTCGCACATAATTTAGATGCTTTAGAGCTGATGAAAACTAGCAATAAAAGGGCTGGAAGAATTCCCATCATCTTTCGGTTGCCGGCAATATGTAATTCAATCATGGTACAAAAACCTGTAAATATAATTGCAGCGATTTCACAGTTTGCGCCTGCAAAACTTTTGCTGTTGGGCAGTTCAGCAGAAGGCACTCGAGTAGCCACTTTCTGCTGGCTGGCTGCTTTGGAAAACGGCGCAGCGCGGGGAGAGTTAATGTGTGGTGGAGGAAGCGCGTGTGGCTGCAGAGCGGCGAGACGGCGGTGGTGTAGGGCAGTGGTGGGAGAGGGGAGTGGAGAGCAGCTGTACTCATCGCACCTGGAGAGGGTTTTGGTCCACAGCCAGCAACATGAGAAATCAGGTAGACCTGCTGGCCACTGTCACAGTGTTGGGAGTCCTGGAGCAAGGTAAATGTCCTTTATATAATGCTAGGTAGCGTTAAGCTGATTATATGAAACTTTGTGGAACTTGGTTCCTGTATTTTGCTTGGAGTCTCTTGTGGAATGAAAGTTGCTGTTTTCCAACGTGGTAAGATGACGCAAAGGTTTGGCCATTCACGGTGGAAGTGTCGTGCCTGAGCACGTTCGTTCTCTAATAGGGACTAAAACGATACGCAAGCCTCAAAGCCAGCATCCTAGAAGGGTGTGAAATTTAAGTTTTACTTTTAAACTTAAAACAATTTCAACAATAGAATGTCTTTAAAATACTTGCTGTGACTGAATTTTGGCAGATAATTTGTAAGTTGGAGTGGCTGGCGATAGCCAAAACAAAGGCAGGTTAATAAATATGCTGATGAAGAGATCAGTGTACAGACGTACATCGTATGTATATAGAAAAGAGTGCCGTGTACACATGTATTTCTGCGACCGGTATCGCTATGTGTTCAATTCATATAGCTTAGCTGCGTGGAGCGGATGGCAAGATGAGTTGACAGCACACAGACAGTAATTTGGAAACTAATGCTGCAAGCCCTTCTGGGTCAGAAATAGATGCAGACATCTTCAAAGAAACTCGGCGACTTCGCATGATTTAAATAGATGTGTTTGGTTTAGACTACTTAGAAAGAAGCAGTGTTGCCAAGCTCTACCTCGTGTGTTTAGTTGTGGGTCCTTTGGGCAAAGGCTTCTTCCCCTTGGGCTTCAGGAGGGTCATGGAAGGGGACGCTGCCCCTGCCTGGGGTGGGGACGGAGCCCCCGGTTTATTAAAACCTTCACGTTTCTATGAGAGAAGGCTGGTTTGTGGGGGTGTTTTGTTACTGAATTAATTCACTGTGGAGCTATCGCACCTCTTCGCTTACAAATGGCTGTGAATCTCTGAGCAGCCTGAGGTACCTTCAGCCATCAGATGATAAATCTCTTAATATAAGCGTTATTTGAAACAGAGATATGCTACTTGAATAATAGAGTTAAAGATTTCTGAATTATCAGTAGTTTCCCTCAAACGATTTACAAAGAACTATCAGCAGCTACAAATGGAAGATACTTTTGTCTTACACATTTTTTATTATTAAACTAAGTGGGGATGGAGGGAGCATTTAATGCATGAAGAGAGACGTGAGGAAAACTTGAAATTGAGTTATGGAAATGTTGCTAAGCCCTTTCCCTTTGGAAACCCTCAGTAGCAAATCCCTAGATAGCAGATTTGTCTCAAATATTACTGCTTTATGAGAACTTCCAAGTGTTTTTTAAAGGTTGCAGCCTTAGGCGTTTTAATTTCATGCTATGCAAACTATACATCGGTGTGAAGCCAGCAGATAAATAGCAAGCATTGGCACCCTCTTATCTACATTAGATCGGACAAATAGTTGCGTTTTATGGTCTCTGCATGGGAAGCCAAGGAGCAATTACAAAGTACTACATTTCCTTTCGCTCTACTAGTAAGAAATATCTGTTAATGTCACTTTGCTTCAGAGCTGCGCAGTAGCTTTTCTTGCACGTTTTGAAAGGACGTTCTGTACGTGAGTTACGGATCTGAGCTTCATTCTAAGGCAGAGCACTGAAACACCGACGTGCGCTATACGTACAAATACTCTTCCATCGCGTCCTGATGTAGGAGACATAATTTAATGGCTGACCTTAGTACAGGGTTAGTTGATTTTTATTTTTATTTTCTTCTTAATTTTCTGGGAGCCCACAGTTTCCATATTATTTCGAGTAACTTTCCCCTTTCTAATTTAGTTATGCCCAGTTTAGCAAAGCTCTGAGCTTAGTGCTCTGTAGGCATGTGCCCCTGCCCTGTGTTGAAGGCTGTACCTGAGGGCAGAACAATGCTACCACAGTTGTTTGGGGTTTTTTCAGTTTTGTTTCTTCCTCCCTCCCCTTTTTATTACGGCTTCAAAGGAAATAAAGCCTATGCAGTGCCGCTGTCTGTCGGTCCCCACAGAGCTGGTTGGCCAGGTTCACTCAAATGTGGCAGATATTGGCTATGATATGGTTTGACAAATTTGTGGACATAATCAAATAGAGAATGAAGGTTTGGCTGGTACTTTTACCAAGGAATAAAGTGCAGAGAGAGCTCAGCCCCTGTGAGCCATGTGGGAATCCACAGAGGAATTCAACCTTGAGACATGAATCACCAAAAAAAAAATAGTTTTAAAGGCGCTGTGGCGTAGATTGATCTTTTTTCCCTGGAAGTCCATGCTGAGAAGGCTTATGCAGTGTGGTTTTTTCCAACACCTCATTCTGCAAATGGCATTTGGAGGGTGATTCTTCATCCTCAACGCTTCACCCGTACGCCCGGTTTGGAGGACAACTAGCCACCCTCCAAAAGGCTCTCGCTGCTCTTGCGTGGTTGTTTCATACGTTATCCATCCCTAAGCGTAAGGGATCTGTTGCAGGACTTGTCCCCGTATACAAGCAAGATGTTAAGCATAGAGTTGATGGAGAGGTTGGGTCTGAAATTATTCTTACCATGTTCATCAGTCACAAGGATGCTACGTTAGGAAGGGTGCAGATGGGATGAAGAGACGATGCAGAAGCCTTAGCTCAGTCCATTTGTTGAGAGGTGGCTGGGATGAGACTCTCAGAGCATTAAATAGTTGCTGTTGTGGGTTAACCCAGCAGGTAGCTGAAAGAACCACACAGCCGTTCGCTCCCCCTGCGAACGCCAGCGGGACGGGGAGAGAATTGGGGGGGGGGGGAAAGGTAGAACTCCTGGGTTGAGATAAAGACAGTTTCATGGGACAGGAAAATAAAAACAATTATAGTAATGATGAACGAATATACAAAACAAGTGATGCACAGCACAGCTGCTCGCCACCCGCTGACCGATGCCCGGTTAGTTCCCGAGCCGCGGTGCCTCCCCGTCCCGCTCCCCCAGTTTATATACAGAGTGTGACGTCATATGGTGCGGAATATCCCTTGGGCCGCTTTGGGTCAGCTGTCCCGGCTGTGCCCCCTCCCAGCTCCCCGTGCACCCCCAGTCCCCTCGCTGGCAGGCCAGCGCACGGGACGATGGAAAGCCCTTGGCCGCTCTTATCGACATTATTCTCATCCGAAATCCAGAACACAGCACAATACCAGCCTTTGGGAAGAAAATTAACTCTAGCCCAGCCAAAGCCAGGGCAGTTGCGTAGGAGAGATGTGTTTATGTGACGTGAAGGTAACAGGACGGGTCACGCTGCCGTCATCTTTTTCCGCGGGCTCTGCCAGCCGCCGCTGCGCCGCCGGCTGTGCGTTGCTGCGGACCCAGCCGCCTTCCCAGAGGGGATGCTCCTGCGTCCCGCCGCGTCTCGCAGGCAGGACGGTATCCTCACCCTCGGCCGTAATCGGGGTGCTTCGGGCGGGGAAGGGCAAACCTGGTCCTCCCCATCTTCCCCCCCAGCACCTCTTGTTTAGAAGTGGGTCACTGCACGCGGTGGTTAAGACACTAGAACACGCGGATGTTTTCTTAAATGAATGTCTGTGTGTTTAAGTGGATAACATGTTGTGTAATACGCAGGTCACACAGAATCAGATTATTTACATTTCTAATTCCCTTTTCTTCTATATATGTTCTAATGCTTTTCTGCAGGCATGCATAGATCTGTCTTGTCTTTAATCTTGCAACATCTGTCCCTCCTTTCCTTCTCTCTCCCGCTGTTCTGCTTTTATCTTCTTTGTTAGAATAAGACAGTCCACAAGGCAGTCCTTGCAGCCTGGCTCCTTGTCTCTCTGTTCAACATTCTGGAAATGTTGCTACATTAAGACCTTGCTAATCCAAGTGACTCGCTTAGCAGCAGGCTGCCGCAGCCACCGAAGTAATTGTTTTTATAATGTAGTCTTTTATATGAAAAAAAATCTTCATTTTCCATAAAGGCAACAGCACAGTAGTGCACCTAAAAGATAAATCCTTGAAACATCAGCAATCACCTGTGGGAGTAGAACTTTCATCAAATAGTGAAACAGCCCGAATCTTCATGTTAACAAGTTTTCACCGTTAAGAAGTGACTTTCCGTGTCCCTTACAAATGTTCAAGGGAGCGATGCAGCAGACACCGAGTTAGTTCCTCGGCCCGGACTTGGCCCAGGCAGCCGCTGGCAGCGCGTCTGCTCCTTGAGCTGCTCAAGCCTTGGGGCTAACGAAGCGGAAGAAATAATCACCCCCTTCCCCGTTTCCTTGCCGTGCCTCGGTCACAGGCGTCTCTAACTGGCTTGTTCAGATGCCGCTCCGTGACGCGGTGCCACCCTTGTACAAAAGCTTTGCGCCCACTGGGTGTAGCGGGAGGTGTTAAACGTTATTCCCATCAGACCGGCTGAAGGGGTACTGGTACTCTGAATACAGAAAAAAAAAGAATCATAATTCTGTGGTGGGATGTGGACTCTGCAAGGTTTCCCTGTGCGTTGCTGGCCTTCCCGGGCGGGTTTGATCTCTCGGGGAGCAGCACCACGGGCTCCGCTGCCGCACGCTGGGCGTGAGACTATGCAAAGCACCAGCCAGCACGTCAGCTCCGCGCTACGCGTGCTCTGCTACGATAACCAAATGTGAATTCAAAGTACCGAGCCTGAAATAAAAGGCACGTTTATTCCAGGTCGTGCGTGAACAGCCCTGGACTATGGATCTAGACAATATCAGCTCTTTTCCTCTAACCGCTTGCTTGATTCTAAGCTAGATAAAGCTTGACTAAATAAAATGCTGCTGGACTGTTACCCTTCCTGTGATGTTCTTTTTTTAGCCTATTTTGCACTGCAGGTGATCTATGCCCGACGGAAGTACAAGATCTCCCCTCCCGAGACAACAGGTCACCCTGAATTTGAGCGGATCTTCAGAGCTCAGTAAGATTTTGACTTTTTTCTGGTGACTCCATCTGGATACGATTCGAGTCAAATGTCACTACCAGGGAAGGCTGAAGTCACCCTCAAGTCACCTTTTCACTTATTGCTTCTGATACTAGAATTTTTTTTTTTTAATGCTTTGCGTGCGGAAGTCTGAGTTTTGATTTGGAGCACTTTGGCTGGAGTGTTTCTGTCCATCCATGATAATCCTCCTTCTGGCATCGTGAGAGGCAGCCAAATTACAAATTAGTGGCTGTATGGAAGAGGTGCTGAGCACTAAAGCATTATAATCATTAAGTTTAACAGTAATGTTGGCTCCAAATTGTGAGAGTAGCTGAAGCTGTATTAATAACCTAATATTTGCTTGTAAGATTTTGCTGTTGAATTGAAGCAAAGGGCTTTGCTGGCAGAACCAGCTATGAGGACATTTTAATTTTTTTCTTTTTTTAAGCCGTTGTACTGTGAAAGTCGGCACTTGCGGGCCCATGCCGAGGGCTGTTGCTTTTTCCTCTGTTCCTATGGAGAGCGCAATGCTGGAGCTAAACTGGAAACGTTCACAGATCCCTTTGGCTTCCAGCAAGCACCAGATTCCGTCTTTCATCTCAGTCGTGCTGTTTCATAAGCGACTGAAAGGAATTGGCCGGAGCTGCTTTGGAGGGTAGTTTGAGCATGGCACTAAACCCTGAAAAAAGCAGCTGCGTTTCCCTGCCAGCTTGCAGGAAACGTTTGTGGACTGACAAAAACACCCGCTTCGGCGCTTTTGCGATGCAGTGAAAGGCCAGCCTGCATGGGAGGCGTCAGCCCTGGCTGGCTGGGCAGCTCTTGATGAGGCTTTTAATTAAATACTGGCCTGTGCGTTAACCGAGTCGTGCTGTGGGCTGTGGCGTATCGGGAAGCTCTCCGCTATGTTCTGCAGAGCAGGAGACCTCAGGGAACTTGGGTTTGAGAAGGTATTTCTTCATTGTGGGCTTTTTCCTCCCTTTATCCTTTTCCCTGTGGGAAAGAAAACAAATGGATAATTTGTTTTGATATAGTAAAAAAAAAAAAAAGAAGGTAAGAAAGTTATTGATTTATTACTCACTCGTGGAAACCTGGCAGCCTCCCCTCGCTGAGGCTCAAACTGCATTTGAAGCATAAGGTTCTTCAGACTTTTTCCAGCTCCCAATCTGGCTGCATTCCCTGAGGCTTGGTAAATTTTTGGCCAAAAGTAAGATTAAATTGCCTAGGGAATGGTAAAATGTAGGAGAAATCGAGAAACAAAACCATCATCTTTAATAGCACAGCTCCCATCATCCTTTCTTGCAGAAAATCCCTATTTTTGTCACTAAAAGAAAAAGGAAGGAAGAAAACCTGGCTGCAGATCTGATCACCTTCCCTTCTGCTGGATTACATCTGGGAGAAAGCTCCTTCTTGGAGCATAACTTGTGTGACACCCAAATTTGAGCTGTGCTTACCCAAGGGGAAGGGAACGCTCCTTAAATGATGTCAGGGAACCTCTACCCTTGCAGCTTCTGAGCCGCAGCTGCACTGGATGTCTGTGAAGGCACTGTGTGCCGGCCGAGGACGGAGCCTGCTGAGGGTCCGGCAAAGATAAATCTCCATCGTGGCCACGGCTCGTTGTTGCAGGGTCCACATGAATGCGGGTGAGGTGAAGGCTGTGCATTGTTTGGGTGCTTTTCTTCTCTAAAATACAGATACTGGGTGTCCTTGGTCACAGAAAAGGCCCTTTCTCTCCAGCACAGCACAGCAATGTCTCTTATCGGCGCTTTCAGTTTGCTCCGATGTGCGTTTCCAGCTCACCTCTCTGGCCTCGGTTAACCGGTCTCTGACTGACCTACGAGGATGCGGTGTTAAGTCTCATCTGTGGTCGGTTTTAACTCTCCTCTCTGGTTCTCACCAGGGCGAATTGCTCAGAGTACTTCCCGATCTTCGTCTCACTCCTCTGGGTTGCTGGCATCTTCTTCCATCAAGGTAAGAGGGGTGCGGGGGGAACCCCAACCCAAACCACGTGCACCACATGGTCAGCCCTGAATTGCTCAGGCAGTTGGACTAGATGATTGTTGTAGGTTCCTTCCAACTGAAATATTCTATTCTAAACCAAAAAAAATCCCAATTTAAATCCCATTGCAACTCAGGTACGTCCTCTCTGTACTTGTGAGACTGTTACTTGGGGAAAAGCAACGTTCCTCTTTGGCCAGATGGACCGAGGAGCACCCCAACTCCAGCCTGCGTGAAGCTGCTGGTGGCAGCCGCGCTGGTCTCCGGCCAGGAGGAGAGGTTTGATGGCGGCGGCAGCCCGCGCTCCTCCACCGGTGCCCAGCCGACCCCCCACGCTGCTTCTCTCGGTCAAGGTCAGGCTGGCGCGTGGTGCCGGGGCAGCGTGGCTCTCTGCTTCGGAGGCTGCTGCTTCCCGCTGCGCCGGGGAAGCTGCACGCTGAAGCTGAGCTGCGAGACGATACTCAAATGGCTAGGGCAGAATGA